ACTTCTCAAGAAAAAAATGCTTGAACACCAGAGATAAAAAAAGAGACAGGAATCTGCTTCAACATATAAATAAGCAGAGATAGTATAACTAGCTTTGATCAAGTCAGTCTTGTCAGATTGAATTTATCAGTATCATAACTGGTCTCAAATATCTATCCACCAGGCCTGGTGGGGAAAAATATAATCCTTGTATTTCACACAGCACCTATAAATCATAACAGCTCAAAACATTTCACTGATAATTATAATAATCCTCACATTTGATCAGCACATCATCAAAGTGTCTCAAAGTGTTTCAATGTAAACTGCAGTGACTGTGAATTTGCAGTCAAATGCAGCAGCCAATTTGCGCACAGCAAAATCCCACAAAAAAAATGAAGTGAATAACCAATTTTATCTGGAATATTGTTAACCAGGCCACTGGGATAAATTCCTTCCTGAACAACAACTGTTGATTAATTCAGCTTGGTGATAACCATAATAAAATAATAACAATCTTTGACATCTGATATAGCGCTTTTTCATGTCTTCGAGACGTTTCAAAGGGCTTCACAGAATATAGTGTAAAGTGAATTGACTGTATATTTGTAGGTGAAACACGGCAGCCAATTGATCCACTGATAACTGTCCACTGATCATTCAAAGGAAGGTTTTTTTTCCCAGTCAGGAGAACAACAAGGTAGGTCTCCATCAGATTGCTTATAGTGACTTATCACGTCATTAAGACGTCTCAAAGCATTCACAGAATATATTGTAAAGTGGATTGACTGAATATTTTGTGGGTGAAATGCAACAATTAAGCACAGCAATATCCCACAATCAGCTGAGGGACTATTCCCCTGGCAAGCAATCCGCCAAACAATTAGCAACTGGTTCCAACTTCCAACTTAGGTCAACAGAGGTGTGTGCAGCAAGGTTTCACCTCACCTGGGAATCGGACTCAGGTCCGCTCACGTGCGTAAGGTTTCGGTCCACCTGGGACTCGGACTCAGGTCCACTCACTTGTGAGGCGATGCGCTGACCGCTGCTCTACAGGACTCCACTGCGCCACAGGGTTCCACAAACTACTGCTTTCACACTAATAAAACCTTCTGTCATTCCAACTGGCTCCTTTCTACACATATTCCAGAGGGAGTACATTTAATTAACTAATTTTCCCCAGTGTAATGTCTTAAAGAGCTTTGTTCTGCATTGGTTTGAAGCAGATAACAATGAATTTTAAAAGTCGTCATTGATATTATTATTATTTTATTGCTTATTGCTCAAAGTTAAACATTTGACTGTTCTATTTTGATTGGCAATTTGTTACTTGCATTGATTGCATTGATCGTTGCCACCTATATTTCATAACGTTTTACTCTTGCAAAATCTGCTTGCAAACCTTGTGTTAATTATGGAGGAAATAACACCAAACTTCACTTGATTCACAACATGACATGTATGGATACAATTTACAGGAAGATGCTGTTTCCCAAGAAGCNAAAAAAGTTTACCAAAAGATTTTATTAAGAGGGAGTTCCTTTAAAAATATGTACAGTAAAATTTTGAGTTATTAGATCATGGCTATGTATAAATCACAGCAGAAACTATTTTAGAATGTACGTGGGTATCATTTGCCCCTCTTTCTTGAGATCTTTTGGATTATCTGATGTGAATATGTCAGAAAGTTCAATGCAAGAGCCTTATACACTGGAAGAATTAAATAGATACTTTATGGTCAACCCTGAACTTCAGGATTGGATTATTCTCTTCAAATAACTGAGAGGTACCTGTTCTTGTTTTACCATGTTTGTCCAGATTTTACCAACAGCCTTTTGGGATTTCAGAATATTATCCGGCGCATGAGCTGGGGCAATTGTTAATAGTATTGCCTGAAATGTTACAGGACCTTAAGGAACTGAAAAAAGGAAAAATACTTTAAGAAATTTGATCATTAAAAAGTAATGATCTCTGTAATTGTATTTTAATGTGTTCTTATTGGCAATAATTATAGTAACATAGTTAATATCATAACTAGTTAAAATAGATCTGATGAATTTATCCTTACTGTTGCTTTTAGTACATCGGCATGATGTCATTTGATTCAAGCTCCAAATTTTAGCTTTAAACTCAGTCTAGGCTAATACTCCAGTTCAGAGCTGGGGGTGTGCTGTATTATTGGAAGCTCTGTCCTTCAAATGAAATGTTAAACCAGGGTCCTATCTCATAAAATAGTTTTGTAGATTGTAAACATATTAAAATCAATAGAGATGTTCTTTTTTGCATTGAAACCCAATAGGAAATTATTTTGTCACAAAAAAGTGACTCGCTGGAGTTAAATGTGATTTCACAACTCAGTTGTACAAAAACTAGTAATCTTGCATTTGATATAGCACCAGTAATATCAAAGCATTGCACAGGGAAATGCTGTCAAGTGCAGTGACTGTCTATTTCCTAGGAAAATACAATACAAAATTACATTTGTATAGCACCTTTCAAGTCAGGAAGATGTCCCGAGATGCTGGACAGTTGGGGATTTGGACCTGAGCAGGGGGGTTGGGATCAGGGAGGGTAGGATAGTGACCAAAGGCGTGTGTGAAGAGGAGGGTCTTGAGACATGCTTTGTAGGAAACAAGGGAGGGAGCAAGGCGAAGGGAATGTGGGATGGAGTTCCGAAGGGTGGGGGCGGAGAGGCTCAAGGCCCGACCGCCGATGGTAGGGCGGGCTAGGCAAGGGTGTAGCAGGCTGAGCGGAGGGAGCGGACAGGTTGATATGGGAATACAACACCCAATTTACCCACAAACAGACATGAAGGGAATGTTCAATTTATCTGGAGGATTGCTAACAAAACTCTCTCCTCTTTTCAAATGATATCACTGGGGCTTAAAATCCATCCAAATGGAGAAAAGCTCAATTTAGCATTTTATCTGAAGGACAGCACCTTCAAAGCAGTGCTCACCTTGACTGCAATTGTGTATCTATCTAGCCTGTGATTTGAAACACGGGGCTTGAACCCACAATCTTCTGACTGGAAACAGAGGTTTTAGAACCGAGTCAAATGTGTACAATGGGAAAATTGCCACATTACCTAATAAAGAGCACTTTTTCTGTATAATCATAAAGAGCATGAAAATGGACTCAACCAAGGTGACAAAAGAGGACACAATGAATGAATGACCCTTTTGGCCATTTGTTCTCATCCTTCCAGAATACCCATTATAGCATCAAACTGTTGCTTATTTGCAGTAAAATGTGAAAAAAGTACTATTCACAGTTTCCTCTAGTCCACCAATAGCCACTTGCACCTAAACCCATAGGAACCACAATGAAAAAGGGGCTTACCTCCCTTCACCTATAAAATACAGTCACTGCACTTAACAGCAATTACCTATCAAGCACTTTGACGGGTTTCCACATTTAGGCCCTGTATTAAATACAAGGATTATTAATCCAACGGTGTTAAAAATTGAAAGAATAAAGTGAGCCCTTGACGTTCATCTCGCTGAATCCCAAGATTGGATTATTGTTTTAGATTCAAAGAAGTATCTGCTCTTATAATAATAATAATAATAATCATTGCATTTGATATAACGCCTACAATGTTGAAACATCTCAAAAGCGCAAGACAGCAATTACTTTCAAGTGAGGTTCTGCAATCCGGCCCAGAAAATGTTATTTGTGGGATGTCCAGGCTCATCTGTAGAGTGCCAGATGTGAAAGGCACTGCACAAATGCCGCGCGTTGCTTTTGTTGGGGAGAAATTCCCATTTTCCTTTTTGAAGAACGCTGGAGGGCACAGGATATCTGTTTAGCATCTCAAGAGCCTCTGACAATGCGTGCAGCCTGCAACCCCCCTCCCAGCACGGCACCCCCTCCCCCAGCACGGCACCCCCTCCCCCAGCAACCCTTCCCCCCACCCTGGCACCCGCCCCCCGAGCACGGCACCCCCTCCCCCAGCCCGGCACCCTCCCCTCCCCCAGCCCGGCACCCCCCAGCCCGGCACCCCCCCCCCCAGCCCGCACCCCTCCCCCCAGCCGGCAACCCCTCCCCCCCCTCAAAGCACGGCACCCCTCCCCAGCACGGCACCCCCCCCCCCCCCCTCCCCCAGCACGCACCCCTCCCCAGCACGGCAACCCCCCCCCCCCCTCCCCAGCACGCACCCCTCCCCAGCACGGCAACCCCCCCCCCAGCACCCCTCCCCCAGCACGGAAACCCCTCCCCAGCAGGCAACCCCTCCCCAGCACGGCACCCCTCCCCCAGCACGGCACCCCTCCCCCAGCACGGCACCCCCAGCGTGGCACCACCTCCCCCAGCGCTGCACCCCTCCCCCCAGCGTGGCACCCCCTCCCCCCAGCCCAGCACCTCCTCCCCCCAGCCCAGCACCCCCTCCCCCCACCCGGCACCCCCAGCCCAGCACCCCTCCCCCAGCAAGGCAACCCCACCCCCCCAGCAACCCCTCCCCCAGCACGGAAATCCTCCCCAGCAGGGCAACCCCTCCCCAAGCACGGCACCCCCTCCCCCAGCACGGCACCCCCTCCCCAGCACGGCACCCCCAGCGTGGCACCCCTCCCCCCACCCCGGCACCCCCAGCCAGCACCTCCTCCCCCAGCCCGGCACCCCCCCCGAGCCCGGCACCCCCCCCGAGCCCGGCACCCCCCCGAGCCCGGCACCCCTCCCCCCACCCCGGCACCCCCCAGCCCGGCACCCCCCCGAGCCCGGCACCCCCCCCCCGAGCCCGGCACCCCCCCCGAGCCCGGCACCCCCTCCCCCCCCCAGCGCGGCACTGGAGGCTGCGGCCGCACGTCACAGGGCTTCAGCAAAAGCCTTTGCGGCCGCGGTCGAGAGCGGGAGCCCCGGAGAGGGCGAGGACCCGGGAGCCGTCAATCAACGGCTGTCAATCAGGCGGTTGCCAGGGAACCGGCCTTGTCCGTCCCCGTCGTCGTCGTCCCCCCCCACCCGGGAGCCGACGTCACAGAGGCCGCCGCCGCGGGCGCGCGCGCGCGCGCTGACCAGGCTCACCCGGGGCGCGCGGCAGCGGCAGCTCCAGCACTCAGACATGGCCACAGGCGCGCAGCCCCCGGGCTCAGGCGGACAGGGACAGGGGCAGGTAAGGCAATCAATCAGTCAGTGCACACGCTCCCCGGGGGGGGTGGGCACGTGCCGCATGTCCATGCAGACCCCGCTGAGCCCCGGGTTTAAACCTTGAACTTTCTGTGCTTCGTAGTCTTGCTGCAAAGGTGGTGGGGCGGTGGGCTGGGGCTGGGGCGCCAGGGGCAGCTTGTCACAGGCACCTCTGTGTGTGTGTGTGGTGTGTGTGTTTTAATGTGTGACTGTGTCTCACCGTGTCGGATAAACTCGGGAGGTTTCGAGGGTGAGTTCAGTGGGTGATTTGATCCCACTATTGTAATGCAATATGCAAACTCTCTCTCTCTCTCTCTCTATATATATATATGTGTGTGTGTTTGTGTATATATATATAACGATGTATTATTAGAAGTGAAAGATAACCTTTTTTCACTCCGCATCCAAACCGCCAGAGAGTCCCGAATCATCAAACTGTCTGTGAGAAACGTGTGAGGTTTTATATGTGGGAGTCCTGTAGCTCAGCGGTTAGAGCACTCGCTTTGCAAGTGAGAGACCTGAGTTCAATTCCAGGCAGAGGGCGAAACCTTGGGCAAGTTTCCTTACTCCACACAGAGCCTAATAATAATCCCTCCAAAACCAAAACCAATAATAAATTAGTCATTTTCAATCTATGACTGTTTGTGGGACATTGCTGTGCGCAATTGGCTGCCGCGTTCGCCCACAAATATACAGTCAATTCACTTTACAGTGTGTTCTGTGAAGCGCTTTGGGACGTCCTCCCGACGTGAAAAGCGCTATATCAAATGCAAGGATTATTATTATTATGTTTAAATTGCCACGTGTGAGTGAGTGAGTATGTGAGCTGCCAGTGCTGTGTGTGAGGGGAGAGGAGGTTGTGTGATAGAGAGGGAGAGCTGCTACTTGGGATTTGTAGTTTGAAGCGACCTTAATCCTTGAATTTGATGTGGTATCATTATTTGTATTTATTTATATATACACACACACACACACACCGACAGGGTGGCTCAGAGTACTCCACAGGATTTCACTCTCAAGTGTAGTGAGTTATAGTTACTGTAGATTTGGAGGAAAGCAGCGAAAATGACCTCCCAAGTGTGTCTATAAATGCTTTAGCAAATTTTGTGTTGCCAGCCAGGAAGAATACAGAGTCATTGAGGAGTACACTGGAGCAGTAGTGATGAGAAAGCCATATACATACAGTATGTTGGATTAGCTGTGGAGGGGCAGAAAGAGAGTGAGGTCAACCAGGGTTCCTGACATGTTGCTCTGAAGTGGACTCTGCTGGAAAATGCAACGGTGTGTTTTTTTGGGTGGGGACTGGATTGAGTTTGGATGCTTTGCTGTGTTGTTGAGGGTATATAGCCCACAGACACTCGATGTCTAGCCTGAAGCATGAATAGGTACTGCAGTGAGACAGCTGAGCAAAACTACAGCCAGAATTTGGAATACTAAAGATTCGACCATTGAGCAACACGTAACACATAATCGATGGTTGTGTGAGTATCGAAGCCTAAAAAGCATTGTATTCAAACAACAAAACAGAATTATGAGATTTAAACATACCTTCCCATTTTGCCACTTACATTACCTGTTGGCTTGTGATAACAGCTCAGCTATTGCAAACTGACCACAATGAATAATTAACAGCCTACTTTGTAGTACATGTGTCACACCTTATTTACCTTTGATGTCTGGAAGTTATCTCATTGGATAAATGGTGGGTGGTAACATAACGTATGTAACAGGAAAATTGTATGAGAACATAGTGATCTTAACATTTGAGTGGAGGTCTGTACTGCCTCTGCCCTGTTACAGGTGTGTTTTATTTTGGGCTGCATCAAGGTTTTATATATATATATATATATATATATATGTGAAATGCATGACTGACCCATGAAAAATCCTTCCAGCAAAAAAATATTCTTCCATTATGGTCCATAAGATGTTCAGCAAAACATAAAAATAGGCTTGAGATTAAATTAGAAAGAAAATTTGTATCCCTTGATTGCCAAGAAATCCTACCAAAAACAGGAAAACCAGTATTGAAAATAACCAAAGGTGTGTTGGTGGTCTTATTGGAGAGTTTGTTAAATCCTATTACAAATGTAAATGTGAAATAGCATTAACAAAATGTAGGAGCATTTTTTAAACAACTGGAAGGTTTCACCAATGAGCATATTGTAAAAAAAATTCTAATTTTGTCTGCATTGCTTTGAGTGTAATAAAATGTATCCTCAAAATGTGTGCACAGGGAGGAACCTGCGTGGGTTGGTTCATTGTGTTCCTACATTGATGCTTATTCTTGTGGTTTTTATACAGTTCACAGGAAGTGCTACGTTGTTACACAACTTACTAACGTATAACATTTTCTTAAAATGCTCTTGTAGTCCTCAACGTGGAGTCCTGTAGCTCAGTGGTTAGAGCACTCGCCTTGCAAGCGAGACACCTGGGTTCAATTCCAGGCAGGGCGAAACCTTGGGCAAGTTTCCTTACTCTACACGCCTAATAATAATCCCTCCAAAACAAAAAAAATAATAAATTGGTCACTTCAATCCACAACTGTTTGTGGAACACTGCTGTGTGCAGTTGGCTGCCGCGTTTCATCCATAAGTATACGGTCAATTCACTTTACAGTCTATTCAGTGAAGCGCTTTGAGACGTCGAAAAGACGTGAAAAGCGCTATATCAAAAGCAAGGATTATTATTATTATAACTCTAGCATCTGGCCATTGAAGTAATAATAGAGTTACCCCATTTACTGCTCTTCTGCATTAATATTTAATATATCCTGTATACAGGAGTAGTGGCACAGCCTCATACATTGTCTTGATACTTTGCACAGACTTGTAGAAAAATTGTATATAATTCTTAGTGAAACTAATAGTTATGCACTTGAAACTATAATAATATATTTTTCTCTCAAATACCAATGTGTAGTATAGCTGGGTGGTTATGATGGGCGTTTCTGGCTAGCCTTTATTTACGTTTACAACTTCACAGGGCTCCAGTTGTAGTTCACTACCATACTTACTATGCCTCATCTATTTGTGTTGTGTAAATGTGGAGGATTGTTTTAGGTTAGGTTGAAGAAGATCCTCCAGCTGATTTTATTTCCACCTTTCCAGAATACCACGTGAGCCGTCTTCCTATTGTGGCATCAAGCCTGGTTAAGGGGCCTGGTTTGTGCTACTTTATCATAAGGGGAAAAACATTCCAAATCTGGTCAATTTTGTGGTTCCTGTATAGTAAATTAGAAAGTAGATTGCAGAAGTATTATTTTTCAATGTGACTTTGAGTGGGAGTGGGGAGGGGGGAACTTATTTGTGTTGGTGCATCATCAGCAAGCTCCTGATGATATTCGATTACATCAGTAAGTAAAAAATATATATAGCATGTGATGCAGGCTCTTCAGTTAGCTGTATTTCTCATCTCAACATGCTTTAATTGCTGAAACAATTTTTGTTTGAAAGCTTTTGTAGTATAAATGTTCTAAGTCTTTGCCTCCCAACAAGAACTGACTAGTCTGAGGATCAGTCACAATCAGTCACTGATCTCCCATTGCTTGCAGGGACAGTTTGATTATCGGTTTGTTTAAATCGCTCGTGTTTGGATTTTTAATAAAGACTACACAATAAATGTATTGTGCAGCACTAGTAGGTTCTAAGAATCTGTGGCATGCACTGTGCAGTATAGTGCAGACCAGTGGGATTGACCTAACTCATAAGCTGTGGCGATAGAAAAATGCGGCTGCAATTTATCAGCAGAATCCGTTATAAACACACCCTCTCCAGTGTAAACTGAAGCTTCTGGCTCCAAGCTTCTCGCGCTTTTTATCCAACGTTACTGTGGGGCGGGCGGTTCCGGACATGCATGCGCGATCCTACAGATTGGCAATTCAGAAGCCCTTGAGTACTGGTAACATGAATTATCATGAACAGTTAATAGTAAGCAAATCCCTCGATGGGTGCTTTACAATGAAAATATAGTAAAATACAACAAGAACAAATTGCATTTAAATCACGCCTTTCACATCAGAAGCATACCACAAGGTGCTGTTCAATTAAGGATCTTCACCCAAGCTGCGAATTGGATACAAGAAGGATGGGGACCAAGGGGGGAGGGAGGGGGCAAGATGACCAAAGATGCGGTCAAAGAAGAAGGTCTTGCGTTGGTACAGTGAGCAGGGTGAGGAATGTGAAGTACCTGCAGAGGGAAAGAGCGGATTGGTAAGATTTTAGAAGTTTAGAAAGGTAGGATGGGGCAAGACCATGGAGGGCTTTAAAAGATTATATTATATATTGATATGCTAATCGTAAATAAATTCTTCAACAGTAACTTTACAATTAAAATCTATAATCGCTTGGTTGCTGGTTACAAATTACGTCTTCTGGTCCCAGCAGCACAGAAACATTGATGTTCAGAGGTGCATTTGATTATTTAGATCTCTGCTTGTCCTTACAACCTTTAATCTCACACTTAACTGGTATTTATTCAATCATTTTCTGAAGGTAATCATCAACTTGACTTGAACTGTGTGAAGTCCTGTAGCTTAGTGGTTAGAGCACTCGCCTCGCAAGCGAGAGGGCCTGGGTTTGATTCCCGGGCAGAGCGAAACGTTAGGCAAGTCTCCTTACTCCATATGCCTCTGTTTGCCTGACAGTAAGTAGGAACCCGGTTGTTAGTTGATTGGGGGGGGTCACTTTTCCTGCGGTAATAATCCTTTTAAAAAAAAAAAAAATCACTCAATCCACGACTGTTTGTGGGACACTGCTGTGTGCAATTGACTGCCGCGATTCGCTCACAAAATACATAGTTAATTCACTACAGTATATTCTGTGAAGCACTTTGAGACATCTCAACGATGTGATAAGGCGCTATATCAAATGGAAGGATTACTATATTGTAGCTTTTTTCTGCTTCTTCTACTCGCCCTTGAAACATCTTGCTTAATGACTGGCTTTGGTGGGTATATGCCAATTTGCACGCAGCAATCCAAGTCATATCGCCCAGCAATGCAACTGGGAACCCATATGCCTCTAACATGCTGGGGTTGCTGGTGGTGATGTCCTTCGGATGAGGTGATAAACTATGGTACCTACTGTGTGTCCAGGTGGATGTTAAAGATCCCATGGCATGTTTAAAAAGAGAAGGGAATCTCTCCACCAGCTATCTCCCAAAATAAAATTGTTCATTCACTCCATGGTTTTTTGTGAGACATTATTACTGGTGTGCAAATTGACATTCACCCACAAAAGTCCCAGTCATTCTACAGTATATCCTGTGAAGCACTTTGGGATGTCCTTGTGATGTGAAAGGCGCTATGTACCAAATGCAAGAATTATTATTATCTTATGGTATCCTTTGAAATAAGGTAACTTACAACTGAAATGATCTGTCAGAGTTGAAAAGGATACATACTTTTCCCTTTTGGAATCAAACTGCTAGAATGTTCTGCCCATTCCCGTAGTTGTGCTGGCTTTTCTCCAAAACCCAAGCTAATGGGCACTTACAATAGTGCTTTGAACAGCATGGAATTAGAAGAGGAAGAAGCTCCTTAAAGATGTTTGTAAGGTCCAGTGGTGTGCAGGTTGCTTTGCGGACTCTTAAAACTTGGCCGGCAACCTCATGTTTTGTTAATTGTGAATCTAATTCATTCCATTCCATCCTATTGATCACCTTTAGGCTATTAAGAAAACAATTTCAGATGTGAATGAGACTGTTACAGAGGGTACTCAAGAGAATCAGGTACATTTATTGTATTTAACGTTGTACACATTGTTTTGCTGCTACTGAATGATCTTGGTTGAAATGTTGACAAATGCATGGTGTGTAAATGGGCAAGATGAAAACATGTTCAGTTCAATTGGAACTATAATAATTTACAATAAGGGATATAATTTCTTTAAAACCTCAATGAATACAACTGATAGTAAAATAGTGCTTTTATATTCATGCTGTCTGTCAAATCCGAGGCCTCAGTTGCATGGGGATAAATGGGTACATGTTGATCATTTAATGAAAATATTTTTGAAGAAAGTTTAAATGTTCTGGCTTTGCAACATTGGAAAAATGATTAAATGTAGCTTTTAAAGCTTTACTTGCATTGTAACTAATCTCCTAAATCTGGTTGTATGCCATTATCAAGTTAGAGTCCACTAACTAGAATTAATTCAGACAGAAAGGCAAGTGATAGTTTGGAATATCAAATTGGTCAAGAAATGTGAAGGTGAATAGTAAAGCATCCTGAACTATGAATTGTCACCACAGATCTGCACTGTGTGCACACTTTACAACAGTGACACCAAGGGAACCCAGTCTGATACCTTGGAGTACTTTGTTGCTGATCTGAGACTGTACCTTTCTTTATTTATAAATAAATAGCATTATTTATATAGACACATCTGGATGCAGAATTTGTTGCTTATTGATTTTATTGGGCAAAATGAATCTTGTAGGCATAGTCGTGTGCTAAGGGGAAAGAACCATACACTGGCTATTTTTTATTTGAATTTCAGGACATTGTACTTTGAAATCTGCTTCTACAAATAAATGCCCCATATGTGCCATTCTGATGTGCTCACTATTCGGCTGACTTGTACCATCATAATCTTGCACTGACTCCTGTGAAACTGTACTGCAATGCTGGCTGCAGCACCAGCATTAATCATATAATGTGCAATTTAATTTTTTTCTAATCTCTCTTTAATTTTGCACTCCTTTCTCATTCTCCAGTCTTTTTTATGCCTTTTTTATTAATGCTTTTCTTAACTCCTGTTTGTTTCTACAAGAATTGTCATTATATCAGACTGGCTAGAACCTAAGCGATCATACTATGGTTGCTTAATAACAGCGATCTTTTCATTACATCTTTATGAATGGGAAAAGATCACCATTTTTAAACAATCAGAGTATGATTCATCCCAATGTCAGTGAGTCAATGTCTGAACAACTCGGTTATTGTTGAAGTATTTCAGTGTGTTGGTTTTGGGCTTTAGAGCATTAATTTTTCAATATAAAGCATTTGCGCACAAAACACACAGTATATCCTTCAAAGTGCTTTAAGACCGGCTGCCAAATGTAAATATTATTATTATAAGGCAAACACAGACTTCCCTGGTCTGGAGTTTGGGGCGAGATGGTCTTACATAACACCAGAAGGTTGAGGGTGTTTTGCCCACATTGCATACTTATAACTAATAAATTGTAGCTAATTGTATTTGTGTAACATAAATCATTTGATAATTTCGGAGTTCTTCATGTTTGATGCTTGAATTCTTTTGGGAAGTTTTTGCGTAGGATTTGGAATGTTTTCATTTGCATTCAATTTGGTACCCCGGGGAGTGGGGGGTAGGGTAGAACTCTCCTGTATATCCACGCAGTGTGTTTCGTGTTACCTCTCTGTGACTAGGTGTGAGAGTGAGAACATTGTAAAGCAGTAATTCTTGTTCACGCCCTAGCAGTTCAGTGGACTTGGAATATATGGTAAATTGATCCCTTGCCCTGCAGAAATATTACACTGAATGAAAAGGCCAAAGTGAGTTTAGAAAATGCACTGAAAACGGTTGGATTTTCAAAAAAATGTGTTATCATTATCTGTACTCGCCCATGAAAAATTGCCAATTAGGGCGAGGTCCTGGAAGCTAACCAGTGCCTGTGAACCCAAAGCCCTGGAGGGGGAGGGACAGAGAAGAAAAGTAGCAACCAAAAAGTCTAATTTCCCGAACTGTGATTATGAAATGTTAGATAAGACGAGTATTTTATAGTTACAATGTTAATCTGGATTTTTACCGCAATATTAAAATGATCCAAAATGATCTAGTTCATTTATTTGTTATTTTGATGTGATTAATTTATTGCAAAAATAGTAACTTCTTGCATATCATCTGCATTTTATATTGGGTCTTTAAGATTGAAACCTGCTTATGGTAATGACCGTAAACTGTAGTGATTTGTGTATTTTCACCCACAAAATATACAGTCAATTCAAATTACAGCATATTCTGAAGCGCTTTAAGAAATTTCGAAGATGTGATTTCGAAGATATCAAATGCAAGGATTATTATTTATTTTATTATTATTTGTAGGCAAACATAGTTGTTTGTGCACACCGGTATCCCATATTATTATATGCTGAGGTGACAAATGAACAGAGAGACATGGGGGTCCACATAAGCAAATCTCTGAAGGTGGCAGGACCGGTAGATAAAGCTGTTATAAAGGCATACGGGATACTAGGCTTTATAAATAGGGGCATAGAATTCAAAAGTCAGGAGGTTATGTTGAATATTTATAAAATGCTGGTAAGGCCTCAGTTGGAGTACTGCATTCAGTTCTGGGCACTGCACTTTAGGAAAGATGTTAGGGCATTGGAGAGGATGCAAAAGAGGTTTACCAGGATGGTACCAGGAATGAACGACCTTAGTTATGAGGAGAGGTTAGCAAAACTAGGATTATTCTCCCTAGAGCAGAGAAGATTAAGAGGGGATTTAATAGAGGTTTTCAAGATCATGAGGATTTAATAGGTTGAACCGGGAAAAACTGTTTCCACTGGCATGTGAGTCTGTAACCTGAGGACACCGATTTAAGATCGTTGTTAAACGAAACCGAGGGGAGGTTAGGAAAAATGTTTTCATCCAGCGAGTTGTTTGGATCTGGAATGCATTACCTGAAAGGGTAGTGGAAGCTGATTCAATAACAAATTTTAAGAGAGAAGTAGATGGGTATTTGAGGAGGACAGGATTGCAGGGCTATGGAGAGAAAGCGGGCCAGTGGGATTGAGTTGGATTGCTCTTTTAGGAGCCGGCGCAGACATGATGGGCCGAATGGCCTCTTTCTGTGCTGTATGATTCTATGATTCTAATTGTTGGATAAGATAGAGAATTGCCCTCCAAATAGTGTCATGGTTTTTTTAGGCACCTGAACAGACAGACATTAGTTTGACATCACATCTGACTTTAGCCAATGCCACACTAGCTGCCCCCCAACCCCCCCCCACCCCCAACACTGAGCTGGGGTGTCAGTCTGGACTGTGAGTCCAGGCTGCTTAAAGTCCTGATGTGGGGTTTGAACCTACAATCTTCTAACCCAAAGGCAGGAATGCTATCAAATGGGCCAAGCTGACATGATGTTAAGTTGCTCTGCAATTAAATACAGTTGAATGTATTTGTGTATTAAAGTTTGAACAGGGGGGTTGTACACAAGTGGCAAACCTGCTGATAGCATTGTACTCTTTCCTAAATAGGTTGCAGTGGAGGATGGAGAAATTGCCACAGAACGCTCGAATGATGACTGTAAAAAAATGGGAACACTCTTTGGCGAGCTCAACAAATGTCTACTCAATGCCGGCTTCTCAAGAATGGAATTGGGGACATATGATGTGGAACCTATTGTAATCGTTTTCTTTTGGTTCATGTTGGGTTTTCTTGGATTACAAGCTTTAACTTTGGTGGGAGCTCTCAGCCTTGTTATTGTTTTCATCCATGGATAGGAGGACATTTTCTAAAAAGAATGTATGAAATCTTGTTTACCTTGTTTGTAAATGCTATATAATTATGTTCAGAATTTGTAATGAATTCTTAATTGTGTACATACATTTATAAATACTGTATGCTACTTACATGTCAAAATATGCAAAATACCCAGATAGATATGGTGTATTGGTATTTACAACTGAAAAAGAGGAAATTAGTTTTTTTATTGTGTTGCAAAAAACATGCAATATTTTCAAGGTTTGGGCTAAAATGTTGTAATTCTATTGAATATATTAAAATGTTTAGTTTTAAGCAGAATTAAGCTAAAGATTCTTCAAATATCCCAGAATAGTTCAGAAAAGCTCAGGGCATGAAATATATGTTTGCATTATGTAGTTTGTAGATAAAAACTCTTGTTAATAACTGTAAATCCTTTTGTAAAACATATGCAAGCAATTTGTATACAGTACCAGATTTGTGTCTTCTGTAAAGTATATTTCTGTAAAGTATATTATGTTGAGTGAAATACTTTTATTGATGTTTTCTTTTTCTCCCCTCCCTTTGGTTTTGTTTGGATTCCTTCATACCCATCTGAACCGGCTTTAAAGTAGATTCAGTGGATATCTATATTTATCTGTGGATTTTGTTTCCTTTGAGTTTTGGCAGTATGCATGGAACTAAACATTAGGTAATGAAAATGTTTTTGTAAGTGAGTTGCAGCAGACTGTTCAATCAGGTATTGAATGATAAGATTTTTGTTAAATGCCAATTATTGGGGGAAAATTGCTATAAATATTTCAGTAAGCACATGAATGCTTCAGTGTATTTTTTAAGGATACTAATTGAAAACAAATGTGTATTTTTGTGGAGTAAGGGACTTGTACCATCAAGTACTTCTGTTAGATTTCTTAATGTATCAAAATATCTCTTACTGTTTTTTTGTTAATTCTAGTTAAGTGTTTTTGTAAACTGTTTGTATGCTGTACAAATGCTTCCAGGTTTAACTGGAAGGATCTGATCTGGATCATATAGTTGCACTAAAACCTGGAGTCTGAAGCTGATGAGCAGTTTTAGTGCAAATAGGGTCCAAACAAAGACAGTTTGCTTAATACTGCTAGGCCTGTTGCTAAGTGGAAAATGTTTGATAAAACATTTTAATTCTGTAGTTTCAGATACTTCTGTACTTGATGGGGAAGAGCCATCTAGAAAGGAAAAAAAGACGAACATTTGAGCTCATTTGTGTTTTGGGTTCTTGTGCCTCTCATTTTTACTGGATCCTAAATGATTGCATAGTGTTTTCATTATGTAAAATGACACAGCGAACTTCATGTGCCAATGAAAATCACATTACTGCTTAAATGTTTGGAACCACTCAATGCATGTGTGTGTTTGTGTCTGATGTTGGCACTAACTAATGTTATTGCTCAGTTTTTTGGGCCGCTCTGGATGCCAAACAGGATTTCCTTGTTCAAAGCCATTGCGACATTGCGGCCGTTTTAGTAATTTCTTCACTTTAATTGGCACAATATTTCTACAGAACCTCTTAGACTATTTTTTCAGTCATCTTTCCCTCCAACACTGTGAGGTGTTTTGGGATGTCCTAACATGAAAGTTCCCACATCTTTAACATACATCTGAACAGTCCCCTATGTTAATGTCTCAACTGAAGACTGCACCTCTGATAACGCAGCACTCCCCAAGTATAGGAGGATAGAGGCACCTGGTTGGGTTTAAAATTATGAAAGGATTTTTTTTTTTGGTCACCCTAGTGTGCAACACATGCAAAAAACAGTCACCACGCTTAAGAGTATCCAAACCAAGCGAGAGTTCCATCCATGCCATCAACACACAGAAATTTCCTTGGCCGAAATGCATTGTGCACTCTCCCCGAAGGGACGCACCCTGCTCACCTAAATCCAGAGTTAGGTGGTGGTTGGCAAGAGTCAAAGCTTGTGCGTGCTAGAGTTTAACCAACTGAAATTGCACAGCTAGAAAGCACAGTCTGGTTAGATTCTTGCTTCTTGTCCAGATAGGGCCAACTGACCCATTAGGGCTTTGCCCCCACCCCGTGAGCAACCTTTTGGTTAGAAAACAATGGATTGTTTATCAAGCAATAGAAAAACTAAGAACAGATTTGTCAGAATTGGCCCTGTTTTAACATCTGTAAGGGGCGCAGCAGGGATTCACCGTATTGTTAAGCAGCTATAATTGCTCTGATTATTTTGGAGCAGCTGCTGGAGATGAGAATGCTATAAATGTTGGTAACTAAATGACATTTTACTGTGTCTAAGCTATTCACATTCATAATTTCTTTTTTTTAAAAGGAAAAGACACATGAGGCTAAAGTAGAATATTGTTGATTGTTATTTTGCTGTTTACATTAATCATGCCCGACGGAATTAAATTATATTTGTGCGAGTGATTCATTGTGCGAGTGATTCAAAGTTGAATCATCTGTATGAAAGTTTGGCTGAAACAGCTCTATCTACTTGCACCTGCTTTAGTTTAACAGTTACTGCCTTTAAGGTTCTGAAGAAAGAATAGTGCTCCATTTAGCATAATAATAATCTTTGCATTTGATATAGTGCTTTTCACATGTTCTAGACGTCTCAAAGCGCTTCACAGAATAGACTGTAAAGTGAATTGACTGTATATTTGTGGGTGAAATGTGGCAGCCAATTGTGCACAGCAGTGTCCCACAAGCAGTCATAGATTGAAATGACCAATTTTTTTTTCAGGGATTATTATCAGGCATGCAACATGCAGTTGGGTGGGGTGGGTGGGGGGAAATGCTGTTTAATGCTTCTTCCACTGTGCTATCTGGAATTGCATACAGTGAACTCAACTGACTTATTAACTCATTATCACTTAATTCATCAGGCTGTCAAATATCCTACATGCTTTTCATTAAAAATGTTAATAAGGGACTGCTTAACACGTAACTCTGCATTGTAGAAATTCTTATAAGTACTTGCACCGTAAAATTAATTGGTTAACTTGTCCTATAATCTGGTACCTTGTATCACAGAGGCCTCCCCCCCTATCCTGTGGTGTGGATGCTCAGCAGAGGTGGGGTGCTCATGATCGGATGCATCAGAAGCCTCTGGTCTACTGGAGGGCTGCACTATGACCTCCCGCCCTTTGCTGTAACTGGAAAGGGCGGGAGGCCACGCCATGATCCTTCAATTGACCAGAACCGTGCAACTCGTCACTTTGGATAATATTACAAACTTAGATCACCTCGCAGGGAGTTGCTTGTTTCTGTCATCCATCAAGTGAGGGATTAATCCTGCCCTTGACAGATGGCATTTTTTCTTTGGGAGGGGAACGCCATGTGTCTGACACATATGGAAACCCGTCACCATGCTTAAGAGTATCCAAACCAAACAGATTTCCATGCATCCCATTTACACATGGAAGTCCCACAGATGGATTGTTGGAACGGGATATGCACTCTCCCTGGAGGGAAGCATCTTGCTAATCTAATTCCGGAAGGTTTTAAGCGCAGGTTGCCAAGAGCTAGGCTTGAGGACACCACACTGCGTGTTGGGGTAACTGCTGGAGTCTAACCAGTTATAACTGCTGGAGTCTAACCAGTTAAAACTGCATAGCTTGCCATTGATATTGCTGTCCACCAAGCTTTCCCATAGTTTGTCCAGCTAGAGCCATCCTATCCATCAGGGCTTTGGCTTGCAGGATTAACAGGAGATGTTGGAACTATCACAAACTCAATACTTTGTCTGAAATGGTCATGTCATTAAGGCCAACCATATCTTTCTCTCACTTGATTTTTAAAAATCTATTCATTAGTCTCAACTTGTTTGCTAACATTGGCAGGAAAGATAGCAGAGTCAGCACCCATAATTGCTATTATAAAAATAATGAAGTTAAATTCCTCTATTCTTTCCCAATATCCTTTACTGTTTTGCTTCAAGATTTAACCAGTTGCATTTTAAACGCTGTTATGCACTAAGCTTCGGTAGCTATTTGTGGTGGTGAATAAAATATTCTGGGCAACGTTTAGAAGAGAGACCTGAGTTCAATTCCAGGCAGGGCGAAACCTTGGGCAAGTTTCCTTACTCCACACGCCTAATAATAATCCCTCCAAAAACAATAATAAATTGGTCATTTTGTGGGACATTGCTGTGCACAATGGTTGCCGCGTTTGCCCACAAATATAGTCAGTTCACTTTACAGTGTATTCTGTGAAGTATTTTGGGACGTCCTCCCGATGTGAAAAGCGCTATATCAAATGCAAGGATTATTATTATTATTATCAGTCATAACCAGTAGATAAGTGGAAAATAACCTGTTTTGTTGTTTCTTGGAAAGCTTGTGCAGAAGTACAATTCATGTCACATTTTTATTGAAATTATTTGGAGATTAGTTTCCCTGCTGGGAGTTTGCAACATGTGTAGTGCCCTCTCTGGTAACTCTGGTGTTAGGGATGAGGTACAAGTGTGTGTGTAATCATTGGCGAGAGCTGGCTGGTGAGCTTCCCACTGCTTGTCCAGCGAGGACCATCTGACACGTTGAGTTTCAGCTTGCAGGGATCACAGGAGTTCAATGGGATGACTCCCTACCCTCAGTTACCGGTCAACCAACATCTAGTGGAACCATCCTCTTCCACCTCCACCACCGCCACCATCACAGAGGGCACTACAAAGAATAATAATAATAATAATCCTTGCATTTGATATAGCGCTTTTCACATCGGGAGGACGTCCCAAAGCGCTTCACAGAACACAGTTATTGCACAATCCAATCCAGGGAAACACCGGCAGCGGTTGGGCTGTTTTTACCGGCTGCAACAGCGAAGAACGCACTTTTTGTTGCACATTACAGATATAATTTTTGGCACAGGTTTGAGAGTGTGGAGGAACGTATTTGCATTCATTTCCCGCCGACACGTCAGGTCTGCTCTGCCGACAGGGACTTCCCTGAATTGCTGAGGACCGTTCTGGCTCAGCAACAGAGGAGTGACTCGGTTTTGACATCTCGGCCGACTCCGTTCCAAGCAAAACCCCATTTGCTCATCTTCCCCCAACGCCGGCGCTATATACCGCTGTCATTTTGTTGCCGCTGCGGCGAGTCTTATCAGCTACAGTCTCACTGCCCACAGCCTGCACACACTTCCCTGCACATTGAGCCACGGCTCCCACCAGCAGCTGCTCTCCGGTGGCCCTGGTGTAGCGCGGTGGGTGTGAGCGGGTGACAGCGCCCTCTCCGGTGGCCCTGGTGTAGCGCAGTGGGTGTGAGCGGGTGTCAGCGCCCTCTCTGGTGTAGCGCGGTGGGTGTGAGCGGGTGTCAGCGCCCTCTCCGGTGTAGCGCGGTGGGTGTGAGCGGGTGTCAGCGCCCTCTCTGGTGGCGGTGGGTGTGAGCGGGTGAGCGCCCTCTCCGGTGGCCCTGGTGTAGCGCAGTGGGTGTGAGCGGGTGTCAGCGCCCTCTCTGGTGTAGCGCGGTGGGTGTGAGCGGGTGTCAGCGCCCTCTCCGGTGTAGCGCGGTGGGTGTGAGCGGGTGTCAGCGCCCTCTCTGGTGTAGCGCGGTGGGTGTGAGCGGGTGACAGCGCCCTCTCCGGTGTAGCGCGGTGGGTGTGAGCGGGTGTCAGCGCCCTCTCCGGTGTAGCGCGTGGTGTGAGCGGGTGACAGCGCCTCTCGGTCCGGTGTAGCGCGTGGGTGTGAGCGGGTGTCAGCGCCCTCTCTGGTGTAGCGCGGTGGGTGTGAGCGGGTGTCAGCGCCCTCTCCGGTGTAGCGCGGTGGGTGTGAGCGGGTGTCAGCGCCCTCTCTGGTGTAGCGCGGTGGGTGTGAGCGGGTGACAGCGCCCTCTCTGGTGTAGCGCGGTGGGTGTGAGCGGGTGTCAGCGCCCTCTCTGGTGTAGCGCGGTGGGTGTGAGCGGGTGTCAGCGCCCTCTCCGGTGTAGCGCGGTGGGTGTGAGCGGGTGTCAGCGCCCTCTCCGGTGTAGCGCGGTGGGTGTGAGCGGGTGTCAGCGCCCTCTCTGGTGTAGCGCGGTGGGTGTGAGCGGGTGTCAGCGCCCTCTCCGGTGTAGCGCGGTGGGTGTGAGCGGGTGTCAGCGCCCTCTCTGGTGTAGCGCGGTGGGTGTGAGCGGGTGTCAGCGCCCTCTCTGGTGTAGCGCGGTGGGTGTGAGCGGGTGACAGCGCCCTCTCTGGTGTAGCGCGGTGTAGCGCGGTGGGCGTGAGCGGGTGACAGCGCCCTCTCTGGTGTAGCGCGGTGGGTGTGAGCGGGTGACAGCGCCCTCTCCGGTGGCCCTGGTGTAGCGCGGCGAGCGGGGTCGGGGGCGGGGTGTGCGCTCCCGGACGTGACGCGACAATGGTGAGGACGGGCGGACGGGCGGACGGACGTGTCCCGGAGCGCGTGTCCCCGGGAGGGAGGGAGGAGGAGGAGGCAGCGGGTGTGTGTGGCTGCAGCGCTGTGGTCTCCCTTCTCCCTTCTCTCTCCTCCTCTAAATACATGGCCGCTTATTTATCTTCCTCCCGCCAGGCCTGGGTGGCTCGCCCTTCCCCCCTCACCCCCCGCCGCCGGGGTCGCACGGACGCGGTGTCCTCAGTGCTGTGCTTCCTGCTCACCCGGTGACACACACACACACACAGACACACACACACACACAGACACACACACACACACAGACACACACACACACACAGAGAGAGAGAGAGAGAGGTGCGGTGCAGTATGCGCGATGGGCAACTGCTGGGCTCAGTGCTTCGGGTTGTTTAGGAAAGAGGCCAACAGGATCCAGCGAGGCGGAGGGTGAGTGCTTCGGTTAATTTGCACCAATGCACTTCATCATCATCATCATCATCATCATTATTATTATTATTATTATTACTGTCATTATTATTGCTTCGTTGCTAAATGTGTGAGGTGTTGCCTTGTGCCTTTATGATAATAATAATCCTTGCATTTGATAGAGCGCTTTTCACGTCGGGAGGACGTCCCAAAGCGCTTCACAGAACAGACTGTAAAGTGAATTGACTGTATATTTGTGGGCGAACGCGGCAGCCAATTGCGCACAGCAATGTCCCACAAACAGTCGTAGATTGAAAATGACCAATTTATTATTGTTTTGGTTTTTTGGAGGGATTATTATTAGGCTCTGTGTGGAGTAAGGAAACTTGCCCAAGGTTTCGCCCTGACTGGAATTGAACTCAGGTCTCTCACTTGCAAAGCGAGTGCTCTAACCACTGAGCTACAGGACTCCATGTTGTCTCCCCTCCTCCTCTCCCCCTCCTCCTCCTCCTCTCCCCCAGTCAGAGGGGCAGTTACCAGGTGCAAGTACTTGCACTTCTCATTGGCAGTCGGGACTACAGATGTGCACAGGAGTTTACACATCTGGTTCAATGCAACCCCGACCGTATAAAAACAGCCACTCCGGTTATACTTTGCCACACACCCTTCAGGATATAATGGGTGTATATGGGCTTTTTTTTAAAAAAAATTCATGAATGCATAAATAAATAAATGTGTTAGGGACGTGCGTTCATCTTTCCTGTTAAAAGAATTGAGCTGTGAGTGTTTTTCTTTCCCCCCCTTTTTGTTAATCAAGTCCCAGCTCGTGTTTGCTGGAGTCGTTTCCCACACGTTAAGTCCTGTCGAGTGCAGTTCATTCGTCCCTATTGCAATTGCAACCAAAATGTTACAATATGGCCATTCAAAACCAGTTGTTTTAAATGTAAGGCATCACTTTTGGTGTTTCGTGTTTCAATGTTACATATTTACGTTCTCCTCTCTTGACACAATCTGAACAGAAATAAGAGGGAGATTGTTCTTGAGTTTATTTCTTACCTGACTCCTCGTCACTACATATCTTGGGTTGTTTGTTCAGGAATTGGGCAAAACTGTCCTTAAGCCTCTTTTAAGGTGCAACCTGTATGGTTTATGTAGTTTGTACAGCCTAACCTAGTTTACTTTTTAAAAGTTTATCACAAGTATCAATGAGAAAACTCCCAATACGTCTACGTGCACATGTGGCGATGGGTCAAGACACATTGAATTGCAGGAAAAGTAGTTTTGACCCGTCACTGCGCGTGCATCTACCAGCTGCAGTGATGAACTAACATATGCCTACATACCAGCTGCATTGAATTGCGCATGCACAGTGTAGATTATTGATTAAATCTGATTTTATACAGTCTGGACAGTTTGCCTGCAACTCGGACTCCGTGTAAGTAATATTAAATACAGTCCCGACTAATGTGACTCATGTAAGTTTTAATGTAATTTTGGGAAATAATTCCACAAAAAGGTACAACTAAATAAAATGAGTGACTAGATTTTTGCTATTTGGTGGATTCTGCGCTCATTGAATTGTGAATAAAACTTTGTACTTGTGAGTAGAACTTTACCACAACAGCAACATACATTTATGTAGTATCCCAGAGCGCTTGACAGTGGGGGAGCACAATCTGAGCCGTGGAGAGGGAGAGTTACCCGTAGTTACGGTCAAATAGGCGCGACCTGAAGATGGGGAAGGAAGGGGCAAGGTGGAGGAGGGATAGCGGAAGAGTGCTGCAGAGTTTTGGGGGCGTAGTGGTGAATATCACGCACTTATTGAGTATTATTAATACATTAAAGGAAAATTCACGCAAGATGAGTTTTAATGTTGTACCAATATATTGTGTGATATTCTTGATTACTCATACCAAATTGCATCTGTAATTTGTATAATAACAACAACTTGCACTTGTATAACGCCCTCAACTCAGCGTAGCGTCTCAGAGGGCTTAACAATGACAGAGCCCGACTCCAAGCCGGGTGGGGGGGTGGGGGTAGGTGACCGTATGGTCGAAAAGGAAGGTTTTCAGGCAGGATTTGGAAAAGGGGAGAGAGAGAGCAAAGCGGAGGGATTGAGAGAGAGTGTTCCACAGTTTCGGGGCATAATGGCTGAAAGCACAACCTCCAATGGTGGGGTGGAGGGTGCAAGGGACACGCAGGAGGCCGATGCCAGTCGAGTGGAGGCGCCGGGTGTTGGACTGGGGAGTGAGGAGGTTGGAGAGGTAGGGAGGTGCCAGGGAGTGAATGGATTTGAAAATGAGTGTGAGGATCTTAAAGTCAATCTGTTCGGTGATGTGGAGCCTGACCAGAACTGATGAGATGTGGGTACAGAGTTTGGTCCGGGTCAGTATGCGGGCAGCAGAGTTGTGACTGAGCTGATCTTGTGAATGGTGGAGCTGGGGAGACCGGCGAGAAGTGCGATTGAGTAATCCAGGTGGGAGGTGACAAATGCATACACGAGCGTTTCGGCTGCATTTGGGTTAAGGTATGGTCAGAGGTGGGCAATGTGGCGAAGATGTAAGAAGACAGTCCTGGTCGGGGTCCGGATGTGGGGGAGGAAGGTCAGGTGGGAGTCAAACCGGATGCCTAGGTTTCACGCTGGTTCGGTGAGGTTGAGGAGTTTAGATCCATAGGAGTGAAGATGTTGACTGGAGCCAAGGCGTATGGCTTCCATCTTGTCCATGTTCAGCTGCAGGATGGTTGCACTCATCCAGTCCCTGATGTAGTAGAATCAAAACAAGGTTTTTTTTTCTAACATTGTGAACAATGATCAGTAAGTCAGTGATGTTCACTTCATCTTTGTAAAGCATGTTAACATATTCTGCCTACATTGAAAGCACTATACAAGTCCATATTGTAAATTAGCCACAATCAGCTGACTGATGAGCAGCTTTTACATTAGGGATTTATGTTTTTAAAACAATTTGTGATAATATTTATTGTTTACTGTAAAGGTTGTTTGCATCTTTATTTGCTGTGACATTGGACTGGTCTGCAGTATTCAAACACTGGTTTGTGGACTCTTGGCAGAATGCGAATGCTGAATCAGTTTGATTCCATTGACTGCATCAAAAGTACTAGATGGACTGCATTGGTCCTTTGTACCTTTTTGACGTCATTAATGTAGAGTAAAAATCTGGTGTTTAATTTTGAACTATGCTCTGATGTACATACATAGTTTTGTTGAGTGAAGTAAATGTTGGTGGGGTACAGCAGGCTGTTTAACACACAAGTATTATTATTAATTAGCCACAGCAAATATCTGCTGACCCAAAATTACTGTGTAGAATATGCAAATTATCTTGCTGAGATGGAAAAAGAAACTGTGATTGAGAAAGAGTTGAAACAGGAAGGAAATGTGGAAAAGCCAGAACCTCGTGCGAGTCAGTTCAGGAAAGAACGATAGAAAATGGAGGTGATACTGAAGTGAATCACCCAGGAAAGAAATACTGTGAGTAAAAGTTATGACTGGACAAGTATAGTGTAGAGGGACAGAGGGAGAATGGGACAGTAGGAGCCGGTTTCACAGTGGGCTTGTGGTAATCCAGCTGTTTTTCTTTTGATACCAATTTAGTGGGTCTAGATGAGGTGGTATATAGTTGATGGGCACGTCTCAAATCTTTCTGTTCCACTGAAGTCAAACCTCTTGATGTCGACCCACAGAGGAACGCCTGTTGAACGGTTGTCTAGAAAATACAGTCACAACACTTTACAGTAAATCCTGTGAAGCACTTTGAGATGACCTCCTGACTACCAAATGCAAGGCTCATCTATACGCACAGTACATGAAAGGTGCGACTGACACAGAACTTGGTGTATTCACCACGCCTTCATGACTCGTGAAACTGGTAGTGTAACTTTTCTATGTTGATACAATTTTCAAACCCAAAAGTGATCAAACACCTGACTGACTGTTCATCTGATAGTTGACCTTTTACACGCATTGTTAAAGCCACAAAGTCATGCAGTTTATTCCATAAGTTTGAGAGTCTCGAGATGTAAAAGGCATATTTCACCAGCTGGAATGATCATTGTTTTACGTGGTTTTCCTCGATATTGTGCCTGATGTCACGTATTCCAAAGAGAAAGAAAATGTTGTAAGTGTAAAGGGTACTCATGTGACAGAGGTTGCACTTATTGTTCTGTCACATAATCGCATATGTGGATCTATCTAGACATGAGGCCAACATGTTACAAATCCTTTTATTAGAGACAGAAGTACTCAGTTGGGGAGTAAATGAATGCCAATGTGTTGTACTTGTCAGATGCTGTACGTATCCAGACTGCAGTTTTCTTTATCTGCATTAAAAACCTGGGGCTCTTAATGTCCCAGCTATTCTTAAGCAAGTAGTGGAGCTGGTGTGAATACTTGGCTGTGTGATTCTATGCAAAAGCACCGCAGGATTTTGAAGATGCAGCTGTCCAGATGAAGACTTGATCAGTTGCAGCATCGCTTATGTATCCGCATCAATGAGTGCGTAGCCCTGCTGCAGAGCCCCTGAATCCAGCCGATTCAGCAATGAGAAAGGCAACAACAAACTTACATTTGTATAGCGCCTTTCACGTCGGGAGGACATCCCGAGGCACTGGGCAGTAAGAGTTTCGGACCTGAGCTGGGGGTGGGGATTGGGAAGGCTGGAGGGCAGGAGGGAAAGCAGGGTGTTCAGTCATTGAGGAGAGATTCAGGTTCAATCTGCCCCTCCTCCGTAGGTCTGCTCGTGCAAAATGTACCTGAGTAAGAAAACTCAGGTTTGAAAGCTTGTGTAATTGTTATGGGTCCAATTAAAATCATTACTCTGGAGACTGCTTGGCACAATCATTTCTAGATGAAAATAAAGCCTTGAAAATTCTCGTGCGTTTGAGGAGCCACCATAGGGGGCCCTACCTGATTATTAGCAAAATTTAAAACTGCTGACTTAGAGGGGTTTCCACTTAAATGTATTGCAGAATTCCTGTTTTCTGGCATAGAATGTTTT